TCCTCTTTACGAACTCTTCATCAATAACCAACAACTAAAGTTATCTTTGGTAGCTCACTAAAAATAGGTTTACTGGATTACACTTGAAGTCATAATAGTCATCCAGAAACTAGTTTATAAAAAAACCCAGGTCTGAGTAATTCTGGTTTTAGATCTACTTGAGACAGCAGTAAGGATTAAGAATCCACTCTTGACTTTGCATAGTTCTGTTTTTAGAAATATTGCTAGAGCTTTCTTAATAGCTTGTATTGCATCTGTTTCTGTAACGACTGCAAGGAAGTTTAGTATACAAAAAGGCTGGGGTGGTGAGACAACTGCTAACCTCTTTTCCCCTCCCTTGTCAAGGCTCATTCCTATCTGTTTCTCTTGCAAAATCATACATTTACCATCAAGATAAGTTTGAGAACTGGCTGCATGTTTACTCGATTCAGCATATCTGTCACTTAATTGTTACAGTAGGATGAACTGCACCAAATTCTTCTTGAGTAACCAGAATATGTAATAATTAAATGTCAGATAATGTACCCACTTTCAAAAGAACTAGCTGATGTCATTTCAGACTGCACAAACTTCCCTGTAAGTTGCCGATAGCCCAGTTGTTCATCTGTGGGTCATCATCTTTTAAATACTATGTGTGATTCATAAAAGGCTTTTGAAAGGTTTTTGAAAATAAGCACTTTATGGATGTATCAAAATTTGCCTATCTACTAGGTTGCAGACTGTAATAAAAATAACGTGATGTTCTCTTGTTATTACCGTTTCCTCCCCATCTCTGAATCAAGTGTATTGATGTGAACTTTGCAGATTTCTATGTTTAGGTAGATGCATGATACTTAAGAGCTCCCCTAACTGTCTTTGCCATACATTAAATACCATCAGTGTTAAAAAACAAAAAAAAAAAGGAAAAGAAAATGAAAAGATACAAACTTCGTCAACTTTTTGAAAACAAGTAAGTGGATGGACAAAAAGAAAATCCAGTGTAAGTACAGAGCAGGCTATCCTCCCTTTGGCTTTGGGGAAAAATTGGGCTTTAAAGGACATTCTGGAAATTTGTGAAGTGAAGAATTTTGAAATTCTGGTTTCCTGAAGAATTTTCTTGCAGAATACAGAAAGGCTTAAACAGGTATGCATAAATTGCTAGCTATGTGGATCAAAACTCTTTGAACTCTACTTGGAAATTACAGGAAGAGCTTATACTGTAGCACAAATGTTTTGTGCTTGTGATGAAAAGTTTGTCTCAATTTCTGCCGTAGATTTAGGTTTTGAGTTCATTTGGTAAATAACTGTTGTTAATATGTGTGTTAATATAATCTTAATGTTGAGCTGACAATTTTTAAACCATGGTTTTTTGGTTTGTATCTGAAAGAAATGGACGTAAACTCTTAGCCTGATATAAATAAATAAATAAGCTGTTCTGGTAAAAGTGACTTGAAGAGCAGCTGAGAAGTTAGAAGAACACACATTTCTGCAAGCTGGATTAATAAATAGACAAATAAATATACTTCTATACTTGCACAAGTAGAGATGGAATCAGGAATGAAGAACTTACGTAATGCTATACTGACACCATCCCTTCAGTTTTATTAGTTTTTTAAGCTGTGGCTGAGAAGCCCTTGTTTTGGAAACAGTATCTAAAAAAGTACACTATTAGAGATGCAAGTATTTCACGGTATTAAGGTGTAGTTATAAATGTCTGTAGATTTGTTTAGCATCAAAACTCGTTAGACCTGGGCATCACCAGAGAAATAATTTTAAATCTCGTGACCAAGCACTCTGTTGAACTCCAGATACCTTTGAGAGCTCTGGGGCTTGCACACCATGAAACGTTGTTGCAGCCAAATTATTTGGATGCTAACCGGTATTTTAGAACTTCACCAGAACGCAAACTATGGCAGTGTTAGAAATCAGTGTAATGTACAGTTTACTCAAAAAGGTGGGTTTTTTTAAATTGTTGATTAAATGATGCAGTTTTGAGAGGTGTTCAGTGGTATCTTTATTTCTGTATTATGCTATGCATTATGCTATGCATATGTACTCTTAAATCATCAGCTGGTTATCTGTGTTCCTACAAAGAAAAAAAAAATGATCCTACTGTAACGTCAGTAAATCCCTGTAAACAGTGGAAACCTCAGCTGATATCGGTCGGTTCGTAAGGACTGCAGGAGTGGGATCTTCAGTAGGAACAGGAAAAAAAGCTTAACTAGCAATCACATCTTGATGTTAGTCTTCTCTTGCTTTTCTTTGGTGTCGTGCAGGAGCTTAGGTTATTTTTGGATCAAACTCCAAAGGCATTGTGATGCTGAGTACTGTAAAATCTTAAAGCTTGCTTTCCTTACTGCAGTGGAGAATACAGTGTTTGATATACGTGTATCCCTAAAAAACACCTGAAGAGAGCTAGGCATCTTAAAATTGGAGCTACAGAGCTTGTATGCTCTGATGCTTAAAAATAGAATGCTATTTTTAGCTTGTGGCATTTGACTACCATCGGAAAATCCTGTGAATAAACATTATCAAATCTCCACCTGTCTTAAACAATGCTTTTATGGTGGTGCTTATCTTAATTTAAGATTTATGATCTTGAAAAATCACCCAAAGGAAGACACCAGAACATATAGTAGGGGCTTCATCCTCTTTGAAATAACAGGAGAGAAAATGGGGCACCAGTAACAGCTAATGGATAACATTCACAAATGGTCCTCAGAGCAGAAATCAGAACCCAGACCTTTTCCTTCTAAGCTGACTGCCTTAACCACTGAGAGAGCTTACAGTTTCTGTGTTTGGTTGGTCCAAAAAAGATGGATTATTTTATGCAAAGGAAGACTGCTTCAGCAAAAGAACGTGAGAGATATGCCTGTAATCTGGAGTAGTCTGTAGTCCAGGAGTTCAAAATTTTACTGGAGGAAATGATCAATAAATGCAATATAGCAATTTCCCTCAGGAAAAAAAGTGGAACAGAACATACATCTCTTCAACTGTTGTGTAAAGGTGCTGGGGAGCAGGAGGAGACTGGTACGTGATTCGAAAGAAAGGTGTCAGCTATTTGTTGATCTTTTAGGTTAAATTACCAGGCTGAATGAATAAAAAAAAAATAAAAATCTCCCCTCCAAAAATCCCCCGACCTAGTTTCTGGATCCCTACTGGATTTGACGCGTGTCTCAAGCTGTGCTGCCCTGACCGTGCTGAAGCTTTTACTGAGGTGGGCAGCCACGGGGTGTGCAATGGAAGAGCCCAGTTCTTGGGCTGGTCATCAGCTGAGTGTTTTTTAAGAATGAGGATTTTGGAGTGAGTGCCCAGATTCCCTTCAAACCCTGTCTGAGGATTGGCACACAAAATGTTTTCAATAACAGTTCATAGTTGTTAGTAAGAGCTGTAAGGAGGGTTTGCCTTAAATGCAAATATTTGAAACTGAACACATGCATTAACAAACGTTAAGTGAATTACTGATAGAACAGCGTTACGTCGTAATATAGAGTCCTTAATTTTTTTTCTGTTTCAAAGGAAGTATGATCGGACCATTGTATATTTAATCATCTGTATTTTAGGCTCTGTGTAACACGTGTTTGCATGTTTCATTTTACAGTTTATATTAAAATTGCATTTACCTCAAGGTTATTGGAACTATTCCGACAGAACTACTGTGCGTTTCATAGCGTCAGGATCCTCATGGAGACGTAACGCTGCTTAAGTAAACCATTATTCTCTTTTTGCCATGAAATAAACTGTTACAACTGGAACAAAATGATACATTTCATTGGGGTTGTATGAATTCTGTCAGGGGTCTCCATGCTGTGGCTAATACTGGTGTGGTGTTTGTTTTTTTTTTTTTGTTCCCACTTCCCCTCAGGATGACCATGGCCTGTGTTACCCTTCAAGCAAAAGCCACCAACAGAATTTTGCCTACTTGGTCGTGGATCCCTGCAAGCGACACGTGCACACTCTGTACCACTGTTTTGGCGCGAGCTTATTTACCAACTAAGTTATAATAAAACCTGGCTGTTCTCCAGCGCGTTAACGGGGGGCGGCCTCCTCTCCACACGGATGCAGGTGGGAGCTGCCGAGGTTTTTCTAGGAGGAAGGATGTACGCCTCCATTACCCCATGCTCACCTAGATGTTACTACGTGGTTAGCAACAAAAGTTTTTCTCTATTTAAAAGTCATACTTCTTGAAGCTGTGCTCTTGCCAGTTCTGTCTCCCTCTTCCCTCATCCGTTTTATCTAATAAAAGGTTATTTCTCTCGAGGTCTCTTTTCCGAACCAGCTTCAGACCCGCCAAAAAGGTGGAGGCTCTTGGACTCAAGTGAAATCTCTGCGGAATCGGGAGAAAAGTGCGTCAGGCAGCCATGCCCGCACCGACCGCCCTCCATCGCTCCCGAC